CCCCAAAACCCCAAAACCCCAAAACCCCAAAACCCCAATGTTTCCTTATGACCTTGAAAGTTTTTCATAAATAATCAGATATGATATTCCACAGTACTAATGAATTATCAGTAGAGATAGAAGGAATACTTGAATGTTATCTAAATTAATAGCATTTAGACCTGGTTGGTAAATATAAGTTCTCTTACCTAGAAAACTGCACGCTAGCCCTGATTTTTAACATTTTTAGCAAGATTTTATGAGTAAAGTTACTTGATATGGAATTTAACTGAGAGTAATTACATTTTGAACTTTGGCAGGACAAATCTCTATAGCATACTTTTTGAGGAAATTCTTTTAAAGTTAAAACCAATGTAGTCTGAAGCTAAGGCTTTAAAAACAAAGATTTACACAAGTTTGAGGGCTAATTATCAATATTGTTCTATCTCATGTAGAACACAGTATTTGGAAATTTATCCGAGCTAATGAATTAGCTTTAGAGAGGGTTGATGGAATCTAAAGTTGTTCTATAATTGCTCATAATATTCCCATTAACACTTCAAAGACTACATTCCCAGATCAACCAAAAATTTGCACTTTTTATGGCATCACACGTAGCAGAAAAGAAAGTAATTTGAATATTTAGATTTGATCAGAAAGGCGAATAGAGCTCTTTCTCTTCCTAGTCAGTTTTAAGGAAGAAAAGCACCAAAAACATTGCTACAATTAGAATGCTGAACAACCCTGACAAGATGAGACAATTCAGCAGTTCTCTTCTCCGATGAGTGCTTGTGTTGTTTATATTGTTATTATTCTGATTGTGAAGGAAAGGGTTTCCTGCGTCTTGAAACCCTCCACCCATGTTATGAGCATCTGGTTGATTCCCAGGTCTGTTACCATTATTATTGTATTGCTGAAATAACAACTGCTGCTCTCTTAAAAAGTTTTGTCTTTCTAATTCTTCATTATATGCATCTGGAATCAATGTTTCCTGTCTGTAGCTATCTGCAGGACGAACTCCATCTTCTTCAAAAGGTTGGTTTGCATCATCTAAAGCACTATTTAATCAGAATAAATACCTGGAATTCTTTGATTCTCCTCATCCTGAAGCTTCTGAGCAAGCAGATAATCAACATCATTTTCATCATTATTAGGAAAATTTGTAGTCGGGAGTGAAGGTTCAGGGAACTTCTGTAACAAAGGAGGGTCATCCTTCTTAATCTCCTCATATTCATACTGTTGTCTTTCAGTAACTCTGGACTCATCTTCATCTTCCGACTCTTGAAACCTAGCTGCTTGCCTTCTACGATATTCTGCCAGTTGGTCGATCACATCTGTGGATTGGGGTTGGTAATTATTGTCAGCCATTTTTAATTTTACAATCTAACAAAGAGAATATGGGGTTTTGGGGTTTTGGGGTTTTGGGGTTTTGGGG